CAGGAGCCCTTCCTGGGCTGAACTGGGGATCAGGGTAGCGCTTACATGGTGCTGGCACTGGAGGGTGCTCTGGAGGAGCAGGCACAGCAAAGCGCTTTCGAGGAGCTGGCACTGGAGTGAGTTTTGGGGCTGGAGCAGACACTGGAATGAGCTCTGGAAGGCGCTTACGAGGAGCAGGCATTCGGGCTGGAACCGACACTGGGGCCTCATGAATGCATGGCGGGCTTGCCATATTAATGTTCGTTGGGCTTGCCATATTAACGGCCGGTGAACTAGAGTAGGCCGCGGACGGCGGGCTGGTTCTGGCTCGGGGCAGGATGCTCTCCAGACACCAGAGGATTCCTTCCCTCCAGCTCAGTCCCGTGGTGTCTGGGAGGTCCACGGGGCGATGGTAGTTGGCCCCGAGCCAGAACAGAGAATTAATGGTGGCGTCATCGAGGGCCGTATCCGCGGCGAGCCTGCAGAACTCCCAGGAATACTCGACAAAGGGGAGATCTAGGTGAGCTAAGGCGGAGAACCGAGCGGCAATTTCCATAGCCGTGGGGAAAACAAGGAAAACAAAAAAAACTTTTCAAAAAGGTGGAAAAAACAAACGCGAGGAAAAGTCGCCGCTCACTTTTTGTGTGGGTCTAGAATTCTGTCACGGGTTGCTACTGTGAGGAGCACGGAGCGAGGAACGAGAAGACCAGGAGTACCAAACAGAGGAGTTTAATTATTTTTTTCAGGGAATCACACGTAGCAGAAGGAGTTGACAAACAATTCCAGACAAGGGAGAACAGAACGGGCTAGAACTAAATAGGGCAGATAACGAGGGGCAGACAGGTGATGGGGATAACTAACAACAAGGAACAGGTGATACTAATAATGGGAAAAGGAACTGGAAGGACCAAAGGGGATAACTAACAACAAGGATCAGGTGATACTAATAATGGTAAAAGGAACTGGAAGGACCAAATAAGGACAACAGGAACTAAATGGGAACATACACGTGACACTTATAGAGGTTGTGGGATATGGAGAGTGGTCTTATATTGCTTTGATATATGGAAATCCACCCCCCACCACCACCTTTTGTTGGATGAGATTCACTGTGGTCCACACACTGCACTCATCCTATTACTGAGGAAAGAGTGATAAGAAGCCTCATCCCTTGCTCAGCTGAATCAAAGGGGAGGGACTCTGTAGGCAAATATTTTTATTAGCATGTGTCTTCCGATTTAACAGCAACATAGAAAATGGCAAAATATAACACAATAACTGAAAAAGGCAAAATAATTGGAAAAAAAAAAAGAGATATGAAACAGTGTGACGAGAATCTGATTTGAGGAATATTGGATATTGATATCAAAAATGTATTTAATTAATTTATTACTTTAAAAAAATTGTTAATGGATAGTTTGGATAGAATAAAATCATGCATACATTATATATATATATATATATATATATATATATATATAGAGATGCACCGATC